ATATCCTGCACAATTTCCTGATTGGCTCGAAATGGTCAAGTATCTAACAGATTCTTGATACAAATAGCATTGTTATGTTTTATTTTGTTTTTTATTTTTGTCTGTATTTCGTTTACTTATTGTATATTTTAATAATCCATACTTTGGTTCTTTTCCCAATAAATTTTTAGCAAAATGATATGTAGATATTTAAAATTGTTCCATAAAGATAAACAAACTAATTTTATGACATTCATTTGAAATATAGATTTATGTTTATTTGTTCTTATCAACAAAAATTAGTACGATAGAATCATGTACAACTTGAATACTAAATGAAACGATGATCAAAAGTCATGAATAGTTTTTGTGTTGTTCTTTATTATACGAATCATGTTAACTCATGATGTATGTTAGGCGAACTTTTTTTGCTTATATATCCGCTTATGTCAATTCACATGTTATAAAGTGCGAGATACATATACTATTTAGAGCCTACCGATATATTAAAATTTAGGGTATCTTAAAATACCAAAAATCGCTTTTTTAGAAAAAAACGTAACTTTTGAGTTTTTTCTGTAAAGTATATGATGTTAAAGATTGATGCGTATTACGATTTTGTAGAAAACTCGATTAAATTTCAAGATATGATATAGAGCAAATATAGGAGTTAGAAAGTTCTAGCAGATGTTAGACATAAATAAAATATATAAAATAATGGTTGAAAACGTACGAATCTGATATTATGAATTCCAAAAAACAAAATTGTTTTTTATTAAAATAAATCTATAATCACTCTAAGAATAACGAAACCAGGAAAAATTTAATTCATTAAGAAATTTGTTATTGAACAAAATTAATTCATATTGAAACTTTTCATATGAAGAAAATCGAAAAGAAAAAAAGAGAGAAAATCAACTGGACGAACGGTTTTTCGAACCACAGAACGTTATGATTTCATATCGTGAGTATTTAGATTAGAAGCCAAATGTTGTCAGAAATTGAGTGGCTGAACAACACTTTCACCTGCTAGTTCTTTTGATACACATCGTACGATTCGAATTGTCAATCAGTTCTTTCACGAAACTCCCAATTGATCAGACGTTCGGTATATCATTCTTTGGCCTGTTTTGTACTGATTTCATATGATATGTGTAGAATTTTTAAAAAGAAAATTGCTTAAAAAATAGAACATAGGCAATCTCTTGATATCATATGAGAGAGCCGATTAATTTCTACTCGTATCAAATCTTATATTGAAGAAACTTGGGAAAGCGAAGATTCTCAGTGAATATGGACTGCATATTTCGGTTGTTTTGTTTGAAATTGTCGTGAAAATTACAAAAAATCGATTGAAATTAATTCATCATCGATGATATCAAGTTCGAAAGAAATATTTTCATTTAACTATGCGTGAAGATATATCTGGAAAGTAAAACATATACTTTATAGTTAAGTTAATATAATTTGTAGATGTATAATAATATTTAATATTGTCTTAAAGAGAATTGATTTTCTTTTTACAGAAGAAGTGCATATTTAAAAAACCTTGTTATAATCATCTCATTCAAAAAATGAAGTAATAAAACATTTGAAAAATAGAAACTGATCAAGTCAAGAAATTTCAATCTTTATTTTGTCTTTATCTTTAGTAATTTAGTTAACATTCAAAAAGATTTATTTCATTTTCATCTACAGCAATCGTAAAACAGGTTTATTCTTTTTCATTCAATATGTTCTATGAATTTCGTTTGTTGCAAGAATTCTTTAAAAAGTACTCGAACTTGAAATTAATGAAAAATAAACACTTCACACCATCAGACAGGTATAGTATTAACCTTGCTGACAATGAAGACCAACCATTCGCTTTACTTGGTGTAAATATAACACTATTATAGGTAAGTATTCTCATTCAACAGTTATTGTAACAGAATTCATCAATATTATTTTCAAAAAAAAATTCAAATGCAAAAAGAAGAACTGATTTCATCATTTAATACTCATAACGCTTATGAATCTGTAAACTTACCATACCTTGAGGTCAACCCTATACTCAGCTGAACCAAGAATGAATTCTGACTTTTGTAGATCGGTATCAATCATTTTCATACTATCATATAAACTTTTAAATTGCATATTACTCCTTTTCAACTTAATTAATACTCATGCTCTATGTAAATTGTAAGATTTAGTTATTCTTTCATTCACATTCTCACACACTCATCCCTTATCCTCAAAATAGATATGTGTAAAATGATTCATCAATCGTTTATCTCGCTTTACTCAGTCTAGTTGGAGTAATGATAACAAAAGAAAAAAAAAAGAATTCTCATCTTATTTTGTTAATAAATAGGTTGTCACTTAAGACAAATATTTGTCATCTAACAACATTATAATTCTTATAGGTATCATAATATATGTTAACACAGTAGCAACATGGTTTTTGAAAATTTAATTGTTTATTTACTCGATAAATATTTGAGTGATTATATCGAAAACTTAGATACAAAAAAACTCAAAATTGATTTATGGAGTGGTAAGTTCTTTCTCATAAATATATTGTTTTTATTTGTATGTAATTCATTAAAATTAGGAAATGTTGTTCTGGAGAATCTGTATTTAAAATCAAATGCATTAGTATGTTCATTTAATTTTAAAGATAAAAGTTCAATTAAATATATTAATTATAGGATGATTTAGATCTTCCTGTCACTATATCGTTGGGTTATCTTGGTAAATTCAATTTAAAAAAACAAATTATATTTATTTATAATTCATTTATTTTTATTAATTGTAGAAAAATTAACTCTTGAAGTACCATGGAAAACTATATATAGAAGTCCAACTAAAGCAACCATCGATGGACTTTTTCTATTAGTTATACCAAAAACTGGTTTGCATTTTTTTTAAATTTTTGTTTTGTGATAAAATATCTAAATTATTTATCTATCTAATAGAAGTTGAATATGATGTTAAACGAGATGAAAAAGAAAAACATGAAGCTAAAATGAAAGAAGTACATAAAATAGAAGAAATTCGCAAAGAAAAAGAAGCTCAACGTAATAACTAAAATCATTTTCTTCATTAGATGAAAATATTATTATTCATTTTAGAAAACGCTAAAGAATCTGATAAAAATAATGATACATTCATGGAACGAATACAATTACAAATTATTCGAAATTTAGAATTATCAATTCGAAATATTCATGTTATCTATGAAGATAAATCTACAAAACCAAATCATCCATTTGCTGTTGGATTTACATTGAATTATATTACCTTACATGTACTATTTTTGAATATTTTCATATTTAATTGAAAATTTTGCTTGAATTCTAGACAACTACTCCAGACTGGCAACCAACTGTACTCAAAGAACATACAGAATTTATTCATAAAGTAAAACATTTTGTTATATTTTTTCTATTGAAAATAACAAAACATCTAAGAGAGAAAGATCGATAGGCTTTGAAAGGTTATCGTACAAGATGAAATTAGTCTTTGTATTATGAAATTCTTGCTTTTAGCTTGGTGATTTAAGTGCATTATCAATCTATTGGAATACGAATGCTCAATCACGATCGGGACTATCCCGAAATGCAGTTCTTGTATGTTATAGTATATATTTTTTTTTTGTTTCATTTAATTTGATATTTACTTTCGTTTAAATACAGAAAAGTTTGAAAGAACATATAGCAATCAACAATAAAACAACACCGAATGATATATCATACAGTAAATAATTGACTTAACCTAGTTTTGAAGATTA